TAGAGCTATGTTTTACTCGGGTGCAATCTTTGATAATGCTTTTAATGGTACTTACAAGGTATTCTGTGCACTGATTAATGTCCTGTAGTGAGAAGTAATAAGACCAGTCGAAGTCCCGTATTTTGCTTATGGCCGATTCATAGTCTAAGACTTGTCTAACAGTTTTGCTAGTTGTTTTGCAGATCCCAGAGTTTTTAATTTCTAATAGGATAGGGCAATGGTCGGTTAGTGGCGGAAAAACCAATGTTTTCCATTCGTTGTACGTTTTGATCATAAAATGATCGAGATCGTCTAAATAATATAGATTAGTTTGATAAATGACGCATATGAAGTATCGAATTCAATTTGTATGCGGACAAATGCCAGGTATCGTAGTGACGAAACAAACACGCATAGCGACCAATAATGAACTATCGATATTCGGTTTAAATAATTATCGTACTCAACTAAAATCATTATTTTCTTATTAACTAATAAAGAGGACAATTCTAGTATTGATTATAACGTAGAGAATTTAGCGACGACAGAAAAAATAGCGAAATCCAATTGGATAACGTACGGATGTAGTAGTAATAAACGTTTACTTAATCTAATTATTTATTATGGTTCTGCAGGCCATTATTAATTTGAGAAAAGAGTGATTTTTTAATTCATAATCTATAACTATGAATCTATCGATTCCAACTTCTATAAGAACAAAAATCGAAAATCTATAAGATTCATGACTGATTTTACACAACACATCCCTACTGAATTTCAAATGAATTGTGAAACTAATCTATCTTATTTAGACACATGGTTTGTCATTCATTTGGAACTAACATTGCTTAAATTAGATTAATGTATATTTCTTTTAAATTGTCATATGTACAATTTTGTAGCATGTTCTCATTTTGCCAAATTTTCAATTTGTGAACAGAACTAAATGGATAAAATTTTATAAAGTTGAAAATATCTTTCGATGTGAATAATAAAATGTGCTATTGTTTTTATTTATTCAATTGCGGGAAGACCATAATGTTATACGACTTACAGTTACGAGCTACGTACTCGTATGTTTAACATTCTACCCTGGAAACTGAGAATGCGAAGTCGTCTTTATATCACGGAGAATTATTGTAAAAATAAAACATAAAAGTTTAATATGATTGTCTACTGTATATACTACCATATATAACAAAGCTTTTTTGCTGAAAAAACATTATTAATAACTTTAAAAAAATAATTAGACCTATGTTACTCAGATAACGTAGCTTTTTAATGGTGTAAAAAAATTTGAAATCGGCCCAGTAGTTTTTGAGTTATTTCAATACATACAAAAATACATATAATTACTCTTTATAAGTATAGATTAAAACATATTATTGACTAGCTGTTGCATGCGACATCGCCAGCGTGAAAATAAAAAAAAAACCTATGGTCTGGTCTATGTTACTCCTTTCCTCTTTATAATACTAGCAGATATATTTAATTTAAAATGAAGTTTGTGCAAAACCAGGGTCAACAGCTAGTATGCTTATAAAAAGTCTTTACCAACTTGATGAAAGAAAATCGAGAAGTTATTATAATTTTGGATGAGAGCGCTAAAACTTTGCTCTCTCGACAGCCGCTTACCTTGGCAACTTTTTGATATTTCCAAATTGTGCTGATTTCCGTTTGTAAACGTTCACCGTACCACTCTGTATTTGCTTTTATTTAAGAAGTTTCTTTTGCTTTTATAATTTCTTACTGCGGCAGTTGGAATCCGCTACTGTTAATAGCTACGTGTAAGAACCAATCTTCTTACTGACAATATAAATGAGAACGTTTAGATGGATGTTAGAGTTTGTAGCCTAAACAGCTTAACAGATTTCGATGAAAATTGGCATATGTAGAGGATAGTCTGGAAGAACATACAGGTTATTTACTTTTGTTTTATTTATTTCGCGAGTGACAGCTAGTGTTTTATTTTGTTGTAATTTTAGATGTGTTATAGTGCGATATTTTTTACTGGCCCGGTGTGTTTAGTGAAACTGAAGTAAAGTAAACTCTTGTCAATGTCAAGCCACAATATTTGCACAAGGTCCTTAATGGACTGGTCAAACAATATCTAGCAAGTGAGAGACGCTCTTGCTGTTTCTATTAGAAAATATGAAAAATCTACATAGAGTATGCCGAAAGGAAAGTTTTATTGAACTATCATAATTTAGTTTTACTTCTGCTCACCGCGAAAGATAACTTGTATATCTATAATTGTTTGTCCTATCTTACCTTATGTACTCTGTACCTTATACCTTATTTAATCTGTGTTTTATAATTCATAAAATTCATGAATCATGTCATTAAAAACGTCAACTGTCAATATTTTATTAAATTAGTAGAAACATTTACTACAAAATTATTATTAATTTCAGCACGGATTTTCGTTTAGTAATTTAAAAACAATGTACACAATTTTAAAATGCAACTTTTAAGTTTGTTTAAAAGTATGTAGATAGTGGTTTGAAATTTTATTTTGAAAAAGGTTAGTAATAAACAAACACGTTCATACTTTAGAATAATATCCTCAGTAATATTTCCCCACCGAGGGGCTCAGAGCCTACCTTAAATTAGGGTGACTAGACCATAGTCAACCACGGTGGCCCATTGCGGACAACTTTATCGACATATCTCTGAAAGTTACTTTTGAATTTTCTTCACCTCATAATAAAATCTAAATAAAAAATCACTGTATAGGTGCTTAGTAGTCTTCAATATGGCAAAATCAGAAGCCGCAACTGAGATTGAGAAAATGCGCGCTTTGGAAGAAAAGATAAAGGCTCCATCTATATGGGGCAGAGTGCCTTGCGGTATACGATTCGAAGATTTACAAGATACACGTTACGAAGACGCTGTTAAACTACTGAAAAAGCATTATCTTTCTGAAGAGGTATTTTCATTATATTGGAGTGTTTGATTATTTGGATAATATATGCCGAATCACCTAACTACCATCATCGTAAGAAAAGATATAGGATCAATATCAACGCCATCTATTGAGAAAAGTTATAAACTTGACTTCTGATTCCTAAGATCGATTAAACTCGAATATGAATTTTTGATTTCTGTAGCGTTCTGTACGTCGATTTATTTAGAACAAAATTGTTTACGTTACCAGAAAGGCAGGTATGGGTTGAGTTGGGTAAATCGAAATTTATATTTCACAGATAACATATCGATCTGTAAAAATATTAGATGACAAAGAAGGTACTGATGAATTTATATACAACGCTCGCATCTGGATGAAAGATAAGATATCAATAGCAGCGGTAAAAGAAGGAACAAATCAATTAGTAGGAGTATTAATTATGAGAATACAAGATAAGAGTAAGATTTTTCTAGAACGTTCTTGAAATGACTACCATACTTTTTAAATAGTTTTTTATTTGTTCTTCAGGTGCTTATTCTCGAACATTTAGCCGCGTGAAACTTACACACAATCCTCTTTATTCAAAAGTCATGAAATTCTATAACGAAATCGAGAAACCTATAAATCTGTTTGAAGAAATGGGAGTCAGGCGTTATTTAAAGTTTTACGTCATAGCATTAAAAGGAAGATATCGGCATAGAGGTAAGAACAAATGGATTACTTTTTTTAATAGTTCCACGATTACATCGAAAGTCTGGCGTATGGGGAGGCGAGAAATGTCTTAGAAAAGAAGCTGTTCTTGCTGCTTGATAGTTCTTAGTTGTTCTATATTCTGAGAGAGATGAATTTCTAGAAGAAGTAGTAAGACGACTTGGGAAATGGATAGTCTAAAGGTGACATGATTATGAAGCCAGAAGTTATTAAATATAAATCGATTTAGAAGACAAAAACGTAGGGTTTTCACCACATGACTGGGACAAAAACAGGGAGATGGTGTTGATGATTAAATTAGTTATAAAAATTATCTGAACGCTTAAAATTTCAGGTGCTTTACGTAAGTTCTTTGATGTAACTTTGATTTTATCAGGTATTGCAAAAGAAATGTTAAAAGCGGCTAGACAGTTAGCTGCGAGTGCAAACGTGCCAGCTATTGCGGGTATTATGACAACATCCCGCGGTCAGGTCATCGCGGAGAGCTTGGGTTATGTGAAGTACAACGAAATTTATTACATCAGATATCTTATTAATGATCAGGTATTTGATTACTACATTATCTTAAGTAGTTTATATTGGAAAGATTAAGGGCCCGTTCCACAAAATTTTAAATTATTTGATAACAATCCAACGTGTAATAATGTGATGGAAATATTGAACTTTGTTGGCTTATCTAACAGTGACGTCATTTTTAAGCTATCTGGGCCTCTATCAACCAGTGGTGGGACAAGCCCTTAGTAGCTATCGTCGATTATAATTTCAGTTATCATTCCTATGGATATTATAGCATCACTAGTGGAAACACTGAGATGATACTATACATAGATTACAAATTCAAAAAACATTTGTTAATAAGCAAGCTATATTTAAAAATTGAGAGAGAAAGAGCACAAGTAGTGCTAGTAAAATCGTACCTTCATTTCAGATAGCGTTCTTTGATACTGGCTTGGGAAACTATGGTGCGGCGTTAATGGCCTACCGTATACCCGATGTGGAGGAACCAGCGGAGGTTCAACCACAGCGATCCTCGAGGTTCAATATACAGCCTATAACGACAGAAGATGAAGATTGACATCTAAAAGAACTAAAGTGGAAATGAGATACGATTGTCTTTTATTTCGCATTCTTTTCTCGAATGTGATAGATATAGACGGGTTTTTAGTAAATTAATTGTTACTTAAAGAGAAAAATTCAAGTACATCTAGGATCTTTTAACCTTAGCAGGATAACATATGTTTGAGGTAAATTATGTGATTGGTAAATATGAACATTTAAATGCCATATCTTGTTCAATTTTTCTAGGAATAAAATTTGCTACGAATTCTTTTTAAGAAAAATGTAAATTAAAAACTCCGATTGCAGAGAGCCCGTCACATATTTTACATTACCTTACCGCAATTGAATAAATGAATGAAAATTTACATTTCCTTATGCATAGCGCAACCTTTGCTACCTTTAATTTTATTCACGTCTTAGTTGGAAAATTGCAAAAATGTAAGGCATTTAAAATTGAAATTTCAATGTTCGGTTTACCGCCTTATTCTAATAAGGAATGGATTGGAAGAAGAGGATTTTGCTAATGGTTCAAAAGAAAGGTGAAATATCCCTTTTCTGCACATCAATGTTTGAAAATTAACGTTTCTGTAAACCATAATGTTGCAATTATCTATGGACAATGAATACTTCAATATTTTGGCGATATAGTACAGTACAATCATTTACTTTAAACTAAATAAATCAAAAACTACTGGGCCAATTTCAAAAATTCTTTCACCATTAACAAACTACGTTATCAGTGCGTAACATAGGCTTTATTTTTTACTAGCTGTTCGCGTGCGGCTTCACCTGCATGAAATTATAAATTTATTGTTTGCATTTGTTAAATTCTCAATAGCAAATGTCAAAATACCAATTACCTTACTATGGCAATCTTGCTTTCTTGATGTTGGCAGCAACTTATGGTCTCTTTCCCACATTAGTGGTTTTATCCAAAATATTTACCCCCGAGTATAATGGCGTGAAAATATATAGCCTAAAGCGTGACGTAAGTGTAGGGCTTTTTATTAAAAAAGAATTATTCAAAAACATATCGTAATTGCTGTGATCATAGACAACAAAGAAGTATGTGTTTACGCTTTATTATAATAGTATAGATTATTGTTTAATTTCACGCAGACGAAATCGCGAGTAACAGCTAGTAATCTATAATAATAATGTTGCTTGGAACATAATCTTAAATTACATCAGTAAAATTGCGAAAAGTCGATTTTCCTCTTGTATAGATAATCGTTTAGTTTTTGATCATCAAAGATTTTTGTGCGGCGCCTCCGGCATCGTAAATGTTCTTACATAAATATTTATTGGGGTTTCTTTAATACTCGTATTGGACATAATAACCCCCTTAATACGGTGACCATAGTTTTTAACGTCAGGGGATAAGATGTGTGTGTTAAAATGTCATCATCATCATCTTCTTCGTTATCCTACTCCCATAACAACCATATGTGAAATTAAAAAAATTAACATATATGACTTAGCGATAATGTAGCTTTCTAATGGTGAAAGAATTTTTGAAATCAGCCTAGTAGTTTTTGAGTTATTTCAATACATACAAAAATACAATTTTTCCCCTTTATAATATTATAATAGCATAGATAAGTTGATATCAAATTCAGATTTCAATGCAGGCAAATAAGGGTTGCATTTTTCAAAAAAAATTCTCGAAGACTGAAGTAAACATGGTCACTGTACACTCAAGGGACGCATAAAAGAGAACTGTCGTATTGACTATGTCTGGTACTTGTAAGTCGTTACATATTGTACCAAATAATGTCCAACCAACCTATGTTAGTATACGAGTGTGATAGTGTTTTAACTAATGTTTATATCATGAAAATATTTTATGAAATACTAGCTGTTGGCTGTGAGATCGTCCTCGTAAAATTAATAAATAGCCATGTTATCTATGTATACTGCTATACTATTATAATAAAGCGTAAACACACACTTCTTTGTTGCCTAAGATGTCAACAACTACAGCATATTTTTGAATAATTCTCTTTTTAATAAAAAGCCCTACACTTACTTCACGCTTTAGGCTATATATTTTCACTCTATTAAACTTAGGGGGTAAATATTTTGGATAAAAAGCCTAATGTGGGAAAGAGATCATATGTTGCTGCCAACATCAAGGAAACAAGATTGCCAAGGTTAGTCATGTCATGTCATTTTGATATTTGCAATTGATAATTTGACACATGTAATAAAAATAAAATTTTCATAATCTTATGCGGATGAAGTCGCACGGGAACAGCTAGTATAAAATGTTTTAACAAATGTTTCATTTAATTTAATCTATTGTGACAACCCTAAATAGGTGTACATTTTTAACGTTAAGGTTTTGTCTCTGTATAGTTTAGCTACTCTTGTTATACTATGATTTTATATATTAAAGGATACATACAGATTCTTATAAAATTAATGTCTTTAGAACGTTTCTATTGTTCTTAAGCTCCTGACTGTTCCTGACGTTAACGTAGGATTCCACTGCAGTGTTAATACAAATTAGATTCTCTGCTTTATCACTCTTTGATATGAGAATAATAGTGATGACAATATACATGGTTTTTTGTACCAAAATAAAATGAAAGATTATTTTAGAATCAGCGATCATGAATATGTAATTTTTTTTATGAAAGTTACCATAATAACCTTCTTTCCCTAATGTTGCAGCTTGTAGTTTATGGTCTCTTATTTATCCCCTAAGTTTATTAGCGTGAAAATATATAACCTAAAGCGTGTTGTAGGTGCAGGGATTTTTATTAAAGATAGAATTATTCAAAAATATGCTGTGGTGACATCCTACGCCACGAAGTAGTGTGTGTTTACGCTTTATTATTTTAGTATAGAGTACAGACGATTATCGGCAACATGTAAATTTTAATACTATTAGTTAAAAATTAGTCCTGTATAATCAAGTGTAACTGCAGTGTATCTCTGCCGTAAAGAGATACAAGCACGGTCAATGGAACATAAGATTTGTACAAACAAACACGATGGTCGTCGCAAACTCTAATGAGCGAAATACTCTTTGCTAGGACATAAGAAAAGGATAAAAGGTCTTAAGTATTTAAAAGCAAACAAGTTATTATATTCATTTACTAGCTGTTGCTCGCGATTTCGTCCGCGTGGAATAAAAATAATAATAAAAACGTGGTATCTGTTACCCAGTGTCAAAGTAGCGTTTGCATGCAAGATTTTTTGAAATCGTCCCAGTAGTTTTTGAGTTATTTTAATACGTACGGTAATCCAAAAATACAAATCATTCCTCTTTGTAACTTTAGATATAGATTGTGGTACTTGTTAATGCGTTTTTTTTTTGTTTTTCATACTTCGTTTGTTTTTAATACAGCGCAGACGAAGTCGCGAACAGCTCATAAGTCATACTAATATTATAAACGCGAACGTTTAGATGGATGGATGGATGTTAGTTTGTAGTTTAAGCGGCGAAACAGATCTCGATGAAAATTGTCATAGACGTAGATGATAGTCTGGAAGAACACATAAGCTACTCTTTTTTTTTTTTATTCCACACGGACAGAGTCGCGGGCGAAAGCTAGTTTATACATAACTTAAAACATGACTGATAATTATTTTATAAGGCCGTGGTAAATTAAAGAAGACAGAAGTATATAAACGTGAACAACAAAACGGAATAGGCTCTGTATTTGAGGCGGATTGCTTCGATAAAAGTTTCTATCAAAATCTGCAGTTGTACAGCGAACTTTCTAAAAGCTTTCCAGTTTTGGGAATTTGTTCTGTAAAATACTTTGGATGTTTTAGAGACAAAATTATTTCCGATTCTGGAAAACGCTAGATGTCGTCTGCGACTTTATCCGGCATTAAAAATCTTAGCAATCTTTGCCCGTTTTCAATCTGTAATTTTTTTATGTTTAGTATTTCTGTAGCAAATTAGTAATTATATTAATTCATTCATTTTAACTTTAGGTTCTTTAATATTAATACGTTTTTTTTTTAATAATTGTAATCGTTGAATACAATCGAACACAGAATAAATTATTTAGACAACAAAACTAATTCAGATCCTTAGAAAAGGCTGACTTTTTTTTAATCTTTTAAAAACTCAGCTCTTATTAACTTCAAATATAATTGAATACACTAGCTTTTGCTTGCGATTCTGTCCGCGTGGATTAAAAAAAAGCAAAATAATTTTGCTTTTGTTTTTTAAATCTATGCATTTATCGAAATGTGTTCAGTCCTTTAAACGGCAAACTCTAATAAATATACAACCATCTAAACCTTCCCATTTGTGTTATTAGTAAGTAAGATTAGTATGTTAAGAATTGAGCAGCAAATATACGAAAAAATACTAAGAACAAAAGAACAGAATCGCGGATGTATTTCAGTGAGATTGTTTTGTTTGGGAAACTTTTCATGAACAATTGTTTCCGCCGCGTAACATCCTATATGCTTTTGTTTTAAACTTGTCTGCACTGGGCTATTGTTTTCAATGTACGCGTATGATCCTCTTATTTTCGCACATTTTTGGTCTATTTTAAAGAGTCTATTTTTGAATAACTAAAATGTAATCTCCGACAGCAGATCCAGGGGGTCATGGGGTGATGAACCCCCCTGTGCTGATCGGTCAAGAGCTTGACAAAATATATTTAAATAATTTGTCAAGCTCTTGACTTAACCACAACTATGTGACCCCCCCTGGCGCCAAAGCTGGATCCACCCTTGATCATTTCCCCTACCTTATCCTACTCCCGTAGTGGCACATAAGGTTTTCGTCCTCCAAATAACTCTATCATCCGTCTTAGTCATCACTCCCTTCTTGATCATGTCACCTTTCACGCAATACATCTCTTTCTAGGTCTACCTCTACCGGTGTACCTCCACCTTCATAATTACGAATAATTAATTACAATTCGCTGCGATTTTTTTTATATGCGAACATAATAAAACATACATTTTCTGTACTTGTATCAACAAAAATGTTTTAATTTGGATATTTTAAATACTCCGAGAATTAAAAATCACTACCAATGAAGTATTTTTTAATTTGAATAATATTTTGTAGCTCATAAACTGCAGAACCGATTTTAAAAAAAAAATTATCATCAAAAAACGACATTAAAACCGAGTAAAACCATTTATTACTTTTTTACTTCCACGCAAAGTAATTCGCCTTCAAAAGCTAGTATAATAATATGTTACCACTCGAATTCTACGCTAGTAACAGAGATCGCGCGCACACC